GCAAGGAGACATTCCCGGATGTTTTTAGTGAGCCATGGAGGCTTATATGCTCTCCTGCCCCCTTTGACCCTCCTGGGGATTACCTTCCTCTGGGCTTGGAGGATCGTCTCCTTAAGGAGCGACCACTCCCCTTGGACACCCGGCTCCCCTCCCCTCTGAGTCTTCAGCGCTTCTCCAACTATCCTCCTTAGCTCGTTGAAGTTCGCCCTCCTAAAATCTAGGGCCACCACCTGACTGCTTGCCTTTGCTACCTTGCGCTGAATGGTGAAGCCAAAAAGTCGCATTCACAAAATGCAATAAATAAATCATACAACTCTTGCTACTACCATCAGTTTTAAAACATTTTAACACAATGTTCCTAAGTGTGCACCCAGTTGGTGTACCTCCTCTGTGCAGACTCTATTCCTTATCTGTCATATATTCCTGTGCTACCGGCAATATAAGTGGTTGTTGGAAATTAATTAACAAGCCAAGGTCCTAACCATTTTTTCTGATAGGTTCAATTTAGTAATTTGCAATAGCAATTACAGGTGTTCTATATCTATCACCATTTGTGCTCCCTATATACTAGTAGCACAGATCTGAACAGTGGTGATAACTAAATTATTCAGGGTATATTAATAATTCCAAGTCAGTATAATCAAATTTCTACTGCATTTGATTATGAAGAGTACAAGGGAATAATCACAAGTTTTAAATGGAGTTTACATGATAGCTGGTTGAATAATGGAAACAATCTTCATTAATAATATATTGAACAAATATTGCCTGACAAATACTTGGCATATTACATTTTTAAATGGCATTTGCCAGCTCTATGTACATTAAGATGCAAAACAAACAAACATGACCACAAAGGTGAGAAATAAGAAAGCTAAAGTACATATAAATTATATAACCTTAACGTCATTCCTGCCACATGGTAATGACAAAGATGCATACAAATACAATCTGTTAGTAATAATGATACAATGCAATTTCTTCCACTTGTATTGGTTTAGATACTGCAAGAGCTGGACTGTACTGCTGTGCTAGGGTATCCAGTTAAGATCTTATGCTAAAGCCTTTGGGTAGAGCAGGGGGGTTTTACTTGGTTTTCTCCTTTTCATGGGCGAAGGGTTTCAAGGAGATGAGGGGAATGCAGGGGACACAGGGTAAAACTCTCACTGGTAAGGCCAGGATTTTGTCCTTCTTTGCAAGAGTGCTCAAGAAAGCAACAAGTACAAATCCCATTGGCTTTCACCAGGGCTTGTGCTGCTGTTCCATAAAGCCCACCTTGCAAAGTAGTCCTAAATTGCTAGAAGAGAACAGGAAAAGCTATGAGGTGGGACAGGCCAGACCCCACTGGTAGTGACTGGGTAGCAGTAGAAACACGCCACCCTGCAGAATTCCTGCTTGGCTCACCTTCCACGTCGTTGGGGATGGCCGCAGAGACTGACTAACACCAAGGGAACTTCATCAGGTTGGAGGCATGTACATGCCCAAACCAAGACAAGGGTGTGGTTGCTGATGGCTTTCACAGGGAGCAACTGGAACAGTACTAAAAGGGGACCCCAGAGAAATCAGTGTTATTGTGAGGCAGTCAATTGGCTCTAGAAGGGCTGGCAAAGATGCTGATGTGGTGCTCGGGTTTGTTTGTGTGCTGAAAAACACAATAGCTGAACTCACCCAGGTACCGCTGTAAAAGGATTTGGGGCTCAGAGAGTGGCTGGACTGTGCTAGGATCTATGGCAGAGACAACTGATCTAGGGAGCACCTGCACTGGGCAAGGAGGGCCTGAGTACTTCCAGGGATAGGTGGTCCAGGTGAAAGACTCAGGCCCAAGCAGTCAGTGAACTCACCGCACAGCTCGCCGCACACACACACACCAGTGAGTGCAGGACACAGTTCCATAGATTTCATAGACATTAGGGCCTGGAAGGGACCTCGTGAGATCGAGTCCAGCTCCCCGCCGTAGGCAGGAAGTCAGCTGGGATCAAGTGACCCCAGCAAGAAAAACATCCACGTTTTTTGAAAGAGCCCAGAGTAGGTGCTTGGTTCTTACCCTGCAGGAAAAGAGAGTCAGGGGCTCTTGAAACCACTCATCATGTTGGACAGCATTCAGCAGTATATTCAAGTGCCGGTTCCTGAGGATGTGGCATCATTGCTGGGGAATATCCATAGGTAACTCCTCACAGCGGGTTGCCTCAATCTCTGCCATGGGCTGAAACCTCATTTTGCTTGAATAAAAGTATAGCTTTATTGCCAAGAGCAGTGCTTGCTCCTTGGATGACTTCCTGCCACACCAAGGAGGTCGGTGCTGGTCATGTATGTAGGCCATGACCTGGGATGACCTTGACTGACTTCCACCCAACATAGATAAAAGCTCTTTTTGCACATTGCAGGTGTTCAGGTACCTGACTGTAATGCTCATGTTGCACAGCCTGTCTGTTTCTCTCTCCCCTACACAGATACTTTGCT